AACATACCATGGTCCAAGCATCACTAAGACAGTACCTACCTAAGTTAACGGAACTTTTAGTAAGGTAGAAAGTCTTTACACACACCTCTGTAGAAGATAAACTGGTACATTGCTACTTTGAAGAGTCTAGAGAAATCTTTAGAGATCAGGACCAGTGTAGAGAGCACAACAGGGAGAAGGTAGTGGCTCACTAAAGCAAAAGTGTGGAGTGGGGTTGTGACATACAAGGTGGATTACTACTACAAACAGCTAAAGAGAATCTGAGAGACTTGGGATGTGCAAATGAAAACAAGTAGGGCTAGGTGCCTGTAGCTCAGCGGCGCCAGCCACATACACTGGAAGTGGTGGGTTTGAATCCAGCCTGAGCCCGTCAAACAATAATGACAACTACAACCAAAAAAATAGCCAGGTGTTGTGGTGGGTACCTGTAATCCTAGCTACTTGGGAGGCTGAGGCAAGAGAATTGCTTAAGCCCAAGAGTTTGAGGTTGCTGTGAACTGTGACACCACGGGGAACTCTACTCTACTCAGGGCAATAGCTTGAGACTCTGTCTCAAAACAAACAAACAAAAACAAGTAGTCAGTCACAGCTCACATGCTGTTTACTTCCTCTGAATCATTCGGCAGCCCTGGAAATTATTTTTATTTTATCAATATTAAACACTACAGCATTGCCACGGTATTAATAACTAAGTTTATATTACCAGCTAAAGGATCTAGAAGTAACTTGAAATTTATTATTCATGTTTGTTTTTGCTTTTTCAACAAGTTTTCATCAGATTCTTCACTGTGTTTTATTCTGATTGACACATGAGTTTGCTTCCTCTTTTTATTATTTCAGATTGATAAAAGGGTACAAATGATAACTTAGGGAAAAATAGACAAAAACTTAAAATTAATCAATACTCATGTGACCTTCGGAAAGAAACAAGGTGTTGAAAGTAAGAATTCAAACTTTTCTTAATACATTTTTTCTTCTGTTCCAAAGCAACAACAAAAAACACTTTAAAACATATGAGTTTGGAAAATTAAGTTCACAAAGACATTCTAGGAAAAATGTAGCATACCTTATTGCTGAATATCACTATACTGACTTTCAAGGTACTCCCCTTGGGAAGCTATGCACCGACATCAGCACCTAGTCCACCTTCAAAGCAATTTTGCAACTTTTTCTGGAATGGCCATCAGAGCTGTTGTCCAATGAAGTTTTAACAACTAAGTTGGCAAACTCATCCTAGAAAAAGTCCTACATACCTCATGGCTGAATAGTACTACAAGCACCTTCAAAGTACTCTCCGTAGCCGTCTTGCAACCATAGTTATATTCAGCCATAAGGTATGTAGCACTTTTTCTAGGATGAGTTTGTGAACTTGATTGTCTGACCTGTATTTCTTCAATATCAAAAACACAATAAAGCTTTTTTTATGGCTTGGCGCCTGTGGCTCAAGTGGCTAAGGCGCCAGCCACGTACACCCAAGGTGGCGGGTTCGAATCCAGCCCGGGCCCGCCAAACAACAATGATGGCTGCAACCAAAAAACAGCGAGGCGTTGTGGCAGGTGCCTGTGGTCCCAGCTACTCAGGAGGCTAAGACAAGGAGACTCGCTTGAGCCCAGGATTTGGAGGTTGCTGTGAGCTGTGATGCCATGGCACTCTACCCAGGGGGACAGCTGGAGGCTCCTGTCTCAAAAAAAAAAAAAAAAAGCTTTTTTTATTTAAGAAAAACTAATTCAATTCTTTTTAATGGACATACATCTGAAAACTTCTCTCTTCAAATGAAATTCAGCAAAACTTATATTTATTAAATAGAAAATATTTTCCATCAGGTACAAAGTGAAAGTAGATTTCTAAACATGTTAATTGTAATGTTTCAAATAATGTCTGGGGGCAAATTCAAAATATTAGTTAAGATTTTCAAGTTTATAGGGATCATCCTATATTTATTTGATTTTGCATATTTATGTCACTTAGAAAGCATTCTGACCAGTTATACGTGAGATAGCAGCAACATTGCATACTATCTATTTGAAAATTTAAAAACCAGAGCCTTATAAAGAAAATCAGTATATTTACATGGCAGGAAAGGAGACAAAGCAGACATGGGATTTTATGTAATCCAACCCTTTTTCTAGTTCTGGGACACTTTTTTTTTGGCCACGGCCAGGTTTGAACCCACCACCACCGGTATATGGAGCCAGTGCCCTACTCCTTGAGCCACAGGGGCCACCCTAGCTCTGGGACACTTTTTAAGTTTCATAAATAATACTTCTGTCTGTTCCATTAAATAAATGTATTTATTGTATTCTTAAATTTACAACTGAAAGCAGACTGCTAAAATATGATGGTTTGACAGTTTTGAAAATCAGGAGCTAACTGAAAGTTGATAAAATGTGAATTAGCTTTGATATATGGTAAGGAAAGATAAAAAATGAAAATAAACATGGTAAGCTGAATGTGTTTCCTTGTCAGGGGCTTTGAAGGACACAATAGTTTTCTTAAGAGGTCTGAGCTTAACTTTATCACTCCTAACTATAAGATGAAGAAAAACAAATTTATAAATGGTATTTTTGGATGACTGGACTGTAGTTTTGCTTATATTCTTCCTATATTTTCTGCATAATCTAAATATGCATAATGATATTTTATTACATAATAATACATCATATTTAAAATGTTTCTCATAGAAACTTTTAAGACATGAATATTAAAAACCCACCCATGACACAAAATGTTAATTTTATATATTATTTTAGATAAAATAATTTAATAATTAAATCAGTTAATGAATTAATAATTAAAGAATTATGTTATTAAACACTATTTGATTTTAAGCACTGTGCTGGAAACAGATAACGGGCATGTAGACAAAATTCACTGTTGTGAAAGCAAATGGGCTGCAAAGAAATGATGTGCATAATTTATTTAATAATTTCACAATTAAACTGATAATTCATCAGTTTAATAAAATATCTAGAAACAAAATACAACAGTACCAGTTTCAAGCTAGACATACATTGATTGTCTAATGTAGTCTAATTTTAGGAATGTTATATTTTGGACATGTGTAGAAGATGCCAAAAAATGTATACACATTTTTAAAAAGGAAGAAAAACTGAATTAAAATTGTAATACTCAAGTCATGTTTGACTTCTGCAATTACAAGAGATACAAAATACAATACACAAAATAACAAACATTATCAGTATATATTGAGTATTACAATTTTAATACAGGTTATTTCTTTCTTAAAATGTGTATACTTTTTTGGCACCTTCTGTATATTCATTATAGAATCAAACAAGTGAGGTAATAATTTAGATGACAATGTTTGTAAAATGGTGTAATTACTATCAATGTTTCTCTGTATCTATGTTGTCAAAACTCAGATGCATGAGAATCACTTGGGGAACTATCAAAACAGTAATTCTTGATTGAGTTGATTTGGGTGGTACCAAAAGTGGGAGTAGGAAGAACATCAAAGTGTCAGTATTTTTAACATTTTCCCTATGTGATTATGATGCAAGTAGGGTCTGTGTTTCCTTAACATTAACATTTACAAGGTTTGAAAACTTGTTAACAGGTTTGGGGTTAGAGATATTCCTTACTATGTTCCTTTGGAAATTAATACTTCCGAAGTAAGTAGCTACTTGACTTAGGCCATTTAGTTAAGGACAGTCAGGAACAGTATAGAGCTAAGTTTCTAATTCTGTTATGGTTCATTAATTAATCAAAATAATTAATTAATTGGTATCTATTATGTCAGGCACCATACTAGAAACTGAATTCCAGGATGATTAAGACAAAATGATTGTCTGGAGCAAAGCACAAACTCATATAGAAATTACAATGTCAAATATTTAAAATAGTTTTTAAGAACTTACAAAGAAGTTTCATGTTTTCAGCATGGATGGGATGGAGATGGGAAGAAAGTGTGTTTCAGCTTTAAGGAAAATGTGTTCCTCTATGTAATTTACATGTCTGGGTAAGTCTGTTAAAACTGGATAAGCAGGCTTCTCAAGAGTGTCTTTTGAGAAAGTCCACACCAAGGTAGGTCATAAACACAGGCAAAAATAAAGCCTTCAGCCTATCTGTGTTCTGAAGATTTGTAGTAATACAATTCTGGGCACATTCTGGTGAGACACCTAGATATATTTCCTGAGGTAGGCCCCAGTACACTGAGTTCTTTGATGAACAGAAGCATAAAATAAAATCAGAAAAGAGTATTTTGCTAAAAAACGAATGTAAGCCCAAGAACCATAGGAATTATACTTACTGGATACACATAACTATAAAATTATACACAAAGGCATTCTCCATATGTATAGAGATCAAAGGAGGGGATTTGGCTCACCAGGGAGTCTATGTAAATCACAGGTGTTTCATCAGCAGGAACAGAAACAGGATCCAGCAGTAGGGAGTTTGGTCACCTAACATGGCAGGAATCAGAGCAGGAGGATTGTGAAGAAAAGGTATGACACTGGCAAACCCACCTTTTTTCACTGTGTGGACTTGTGAGAATAGGTGAGAACTCCCATCAGTGTTCCCTAAGTATCTGATAAGGGCCTAGGTCTTGTTAAATGTTAAGGAGTTGGACAAGAGCCAGCCAAACAAATTCCACACCTCATCAGTTCCACTCAACAGCACTGTAAGGCAAGTATTGTTTCCCATTTCATAGAAGAGAAAATTGACTCTATAAAGGGAGGGTTTATCATTCCCTCCCTTTCAGTCTCTACAACTGAAAGACACTTAAGGTTTACCCTTTAAGTTTGCTGAGCCAGTAATTGTTACATATCTGCACTACATTCATAGACTCATTGAAAATTTTCATTGCTTCTCAAACTGTAGATAATAAAATGAAAAAATGTCATGTCATCTTAACACATAAAATGTTCTCCAGTTATTACTGGTGTATTTAATCACAGAAATTTGATCCTTTTTGGTTCATATGTTATATATATGTAAAGTATACATGGTTTTTAATGAGACAATAATAAATGTATACATTGCTTTTTAATTGCTTTATTAACTTTATATTTTTCCATGCAAATGGGTGAAACTCTACAGCTGACAGAAATTTAGACTGGGTGCAAAGGCAATCTTCAATTAGAAGCTGGCAACACAAGACCCATCTGACACATGGACATAACAAAAGGTTCACAGCAAACGGATCAGTAAAGGCATATCAGGAAAATGCAAGGAAAAAGAAAACAGTGGGAATCACAGTATTAATCTCATGGAAAATGGCAGGTATCAAGGCATAAGGCAAAATTCATCATGATGGTCATGGTGATTAGAGAGCTCCCCCATGAGGATACGCAGACAATTCCTCAACTGCAGCTCCCTAAGTTTTCTCCTGATTTCTCTCATCTCCTCCATGAACATTTCCATATCATCTCCATCTCCACCCATCCCATCATTGACCTGCCTATTGGGTATGGCCCATCGAAAATTAGGGGCAAGTCGACGAGCCTGTCCCCGTCTATTATTTCCTGCAGGCTGGTGGCCTTCGCCTCCTCCCAAAGGACGGTCTTCCTCTCCATTCTGCATGGGCTGCTCCATTTCTTCGTTTTCCTGGTGAATATTTGCCATGATGAAATTTTTTTGTTCTTGTTGTTATTCTTTGAATACAAGTAAGACAAAGGCAAGGAGAGAGACTGAATGCTTGGTGCACTGACCAGCAGGATTCACAGCCTTGATTTAAATTCTTAAAATTTAATTTCTTCTACCTTTGAATATTCATGGACCCCATGCGCCCTCCAGGAGGCCGTCAATTCGAGCCCCTCCCTCCAGTTCTCTCATCTTATCTCCCTCCCCCAAAGCCCACCATTTTTTCCTTCCCAGAATTCCTTCCCAGGGCTCTGCAGGCACCAAAATGGAGGTCTAGGGTAGGAGTAGGGAGGAAGTGGGGGATGGGGGAAAGGTAGAGGGTAAGGGTCTCATAACCGACCTCTGTACGTCCCTCCCCCCACCCCACCACTGTCCCCAGCACCGACCTGGGCCTATCCTCGCAGCCTCCTCCTCCTTCCAATTCTCGCGGAGAGGTGCACCGCCGCGACACTTAGCCCTTCAGACCTGTGGACTGCCGGGACAGGGGTTGGGGGCTGCTGCAGCCGAGCGCTCCCGGCCTCTTCCCTGCCCCAGGTCCTCTGTACCGCCCCCAAGCCTCCCCGCCCCCTGCGATGTCCACCGTTTTCCCACAGGGACTCGGGGTTGGGGATATTTCCCAGCGCTTTTAGTATGCTGCCTCCTCCCCCCGGGACGTCCAGCATCTCCAACCTACGGGAAGGCCACTATTAATGTTCCCAAGAATGTTGGGGTGTGCAGAAAGCTGACAGGACCTGCTGTCCTTCTCTGCACCCGCCGCCTGGGGCCGCAAACCGCTACCGCCCTGGCCACTGTGCCTGGGGGTCCTGTCTTACCTGCTCTGCTTTCCCCGGGCCCAAGGCCAGCCCCAAGAGCGCAGGGGAGCGGGGAGTTGGTAGCTAGACGCGAGTGACGACTGCACCTAAGGCTGCGTCGCTCTGCAGCTCTGGGTCACGTGAGGACTGCGCGTCACAGCCCCCCAACTTGGGCGGACAGTGCAGCAGGAGGCCCCCCCCCGCGCTCCCCTCACCCCACCACACGAACATTCACACCTCCCCTCTGCCCGCCCCCAGCCTGGGCCTATGTGCCCGGTGCCTCGGCAGGCCCAGCCCTGTCACTCTTCTTGGTCCTCTCCAATCTCAGAGCCCGTAAGTGGCATCACCACTCTACGGTTGGAGTTGGCCCTTCCCTGGTTACCAGGGAGGATGTGCATCATCCTCCAGCACCGCCTCCCTGCCGCCTCTGGGCTTAGCTTTGGCCTTTTCTGCTTTCTCTCCTCTTCTACCTGGTCACTTCTTTCCTGTCAGCCCCAAACACACACACATACACACAAAAACACTCACCCCTTGCGCATACACAACCCCCAATGTCCACTTTGGCCTTTAAAGTCCCACCTTTCTAGAAAATTAGAATGAGGACAGAGATGGGGAGGTAAGGAGTTGGAGTGGGCTGTATATATTTGTTATTTATTTCCTTTTTAAAAAAAAAAAATCAGCATGCCTCAGAAAATCAGAAATGACAAGTTTTCTTTTTTGAAAGAAATGTTTTATACTGAAGAATTAAAAAGCCTCATTGTTTATGTTGACCTGTACTACACAGAAAATATTTCCTCTGGATACCAAACAATATCAACATCATTTCTGAAACATACCAGTTCATTTAAAGTTTTTATTTTTCTTAAAGGAGGGATTCTTCCTGAACACAGTTGGTGTTTTCAAAATGATGTGTAAAGTAAATCTTCAGAGAGAAATCCGGTTGTCAGAGCTTGGTCATTTTATGTAACTTTATGTGGTGATTTTGATACCACAGTCCTCAGAGAAAAGGAGCCTTTCTATTCCCTACTTTCCTTTCCAAACCTTCCAAACCACCCCTAAAATATCTTAGAACGAACTCAGAAGTTAAGTACATAATATTTAGGAATTAGTCTCAAAATCATCTACCTTTTGGTGTGAATGTTCCAAAAAATATTAGAAATAAGCAAGGACTCAACTAAACTTGAGACTGAAACCTGAAAGCCATCTTGAGTGCAAAGATTCCTTTCTCCAACTTGAAATCATTTATTTTTAATAAAAAGTTATCACAGCTAGAAAATAGAGATGGCATTGCTACAAAATTTAGTAGCTCTTGCTTATGATAAAGGAGCCAAAAGCATTATATTCAGCACTGAGGCAAGATAGGTCAGACAAATGCTCACTACCTTTTGTTTTGACTCCAAACTTCTGTATAATTGCCTACCCTCCTAAACGACATGAGGCACTGAATATAAAAAGAGGATATGCCTAGTTTGAGGTTTTGGAGATATATAAAATTACATATAAGCTTGGCATGGTGGTCCATACCTGTAATCCTAGCACTCTAGGAGACTGAGGCATGAGGACCACTTGAGCTCAGGAGTTCATGACCAGCCTAAGCAAGAACGAGATCCCACTCTACTAAAAATAGAAAAAAATTAGCCAGATGTTGTGGTCCCAGCTACTTAGGGGGCTGAAGAAAGAGGATCCAGATCACTTGAACCCAGGAGTTGGAGGTTGCTGTGAGCTAGGCTAAGGCCATGGCACTCTATTCTGGGCAACAGAGCAAGACTCTGCCTCAAAAAAAATTATATATATACTTTTAGAGATAGATACTTTGATATTGATATAGTTCGGTTATTTGGCCTTCCATACCTCATTATCCCTGATGCTTGAGGTGGGGCCTAGTAGGAGGTGTTGAGGTCATGGAGGCAGATCCTTCTGAATGGCTTGATATCATCCTTGTGATAATAAATGAGTTCTCATTCTAATATTTCTCACAAGAGTTGGTTGTTAAAAAGAGCCTAGCACCTCTCTCTTCTTTCTCTCCCCCTCCTTTTCTCTTACCATATCATGAATAGAAACAGCTTGAGGCCCAGCAAACCCTGGCCTTATACTTCTTGTACAGCCTACAGAACTATGAGTCTAATAAACCCTCTTTCCTTTTATATTACCAGCCTTAGGTATTCCTTTAGAGCAGTGGTTCTCAACCTTCCTAATGCTGCGGGCCTTTAATACAGTTCCTGTGGGTTGTGACCCACAGATTGAGAACCGCTGCTTTAGAGCAACACAAACAGACTAAGACAAATATATCTCTAAAAGTTCAAATTATAAATTATATCCAATATTTGTCTTTTAAGGAATGCTAGTGATTCCTTGATTCTGTCTCACGGTTAACAACTCTTCTTACAGATTGTTCCATTAATGATGTTGGCTAGAAGGATGCAGGCTAGAAGCATGAGTTGTGCTATCAGATAAGTCAGCTTCAAATCCAGTCTGTTGCTTACTTGATTTGTGAGTTTGTTTGGGTCAATTATATATCAAGGTCTCTGTGCTTCATCTGTCAAACATGTGTTGTTGGGAGAGTTAAATTATACATATCAAGAACTTACTATAGAGCCTAGTAAATTGTCAATTTTTGTTAACTCATTACTTTTGCCAACAGATGGTAAAAATTACTGGATGACTTTTTTTTAAATTTTTGGGACAGGGTCTCACTCTGTCACCCAGGATAGAGTGTTTTGGCATCATAACTCACAGCAACCTCAAATTCTTGGGCTCAAGAGATCCTCTTGCCTCAGCTTCCCAAGAAGCTGAGACTATGGGCACCCTCCACAACATCCTACTAGTTGTTTTTCTATTTTTTTATTAGAGACGTGGACTCCTAAACTCAAGTAATCCACCTGCTTTGTCTCAGCTTCCTAAAGTGCTGGGATTACAGGCCTGAGCCACCATGCCTGGCTTGGATAATTTCTAACAAGATCTGAAGATTAGCATGTGTAACTCTTGCTGAACTGAATATACTATTCTTAAAATCCACAAGGACCCAAACACGTTTGTTTTGTTCTACTTTCCAATCTAGTTACTCATCTGTACTGTGTTCCTCGTACCTAGTAGGTGATTAGTGAATATTTTTTGAATAAATGTATCCAATTCTGAGGATAATTCATTGCTTTTTTTTCAGAATATTACAGGAAACCTTTGATTAAAAATTGGGAGCTACCTAGAAAGAATCCCCTAAAAGCAGAGAAGCCACTGTGACAACTATTGGATATGAAGTTTAGCAAGCAGTTACATGTTTTCTGTTGTACTTTTGGCCCATCTTGAATAAATCTTTTGTTTAAAACCACAAAATTTTCCTGGATGACAATATACATTTGTGTATTTTTCCTGATTGGATGTTGTGTTATGTAGGTCATTGGTTGTAATGAAGTGATGTTTTAATGGTAGATGGAGGCCAGGTGCAGTGGCTCACACCTATAATCCTAGCACTCTGGGAGGCTGAGGCGGGTGGATTGCTTTAGCCCAGGATTTCAAAGACTGGCCTGATCAATAGCGAGACCTCGTCTCTACTGAAAAATAGAAAAGCTAGCCAGGCATTGTGGTAGGTGCCTGTGGTCCCTGCTACTTGGGAGGCTGAGGCAAGGGAATTGCCTGGGCCCAAGAGTTTGAAGTTGCTGTGAAATTCTACCCAGGTCACAGACTGAGAATATGTCTCAAAAAAAAAAAAAAAAAGAAGATGGAAATTGTCTTGGAAATGCTGTTGTGTTTACTGAAATGTTGTGAGGAGTTGATAGAGATCTTTTTGTGTCCTAGAAGTTTTCTGAAGAGTTGGAGATAGATAAAACCCTGTTGAGAACAAAATTATCCAAGGCCCAGTTAAAAGAATACTAGATTCTGTGTTTGGAATTTATGTATCCCAATAAACAGAGAGAAGGTAAACTGATTCCATGGCTCTTACCCTGAAGTAATGGAAGGGTAATGTAATACTGAGGAAGGAGACTGAGTTCACATTTGGGAAAGTGTGGTATTTGTGAAAAATACATTTTTCTTCTTCTTATCTCCCATAATGGTGGTGGATGCAGGCCCTTGATTCAATCCCTTCCCCAAAGCTAAGAGAGTAGGATCCCAAAATAATCATGTATAAAGTTTAGGGGTATGTACTAGATGGTAAGTTTTACTTCTCATTCCTCTGGTGGATACCTGTTTTACCACTGGGGTTCTCAGCTACCTTGGCCTAGAAAGAACACTGGAAAAATGGTGCTATGTGTGGCCAGGTGGAGAAAGGCCCAGGATTGCCCCCCTTCCAAAGTTCCCAGTTCCAGAAAGGCATGAAAAATAAATCCTACTGTGGTTACAGACTCAAGATTTGGAACTTGGGAGAAGAAAGTTATTGAGATACAAACTTAGCAGTGACTGTTACAGAGTAGGGCAAAGAAATGTATGTGTCACAGAGATTCCATGTGAGGATCATCATCTGGGAGTCACATGCAAGATATGAGTCAGTCTTTCAGGGTGCCCCCAAAGCCTAAGGG